TATCCCTCTATCCACCAAAATGTTATGATTAATCCATCCAATATGTTAATGTATTTTCAAAGTTATGATAGCTTCCAGGTCTCTTTTATCTATGTGGTATCACTAGTTCTTAGACTGACATCAATATCAGAAGAATTAGTAATATCAAATGTGCATTCTTAATAAAATGTCCCTACCTTTAAATAACATTAAGAAACTGATCAACATCAACCTTTTCCTCATCCTTTTTAGAATTCTTTTCCTACTTCCTATTCTGGCATATCCCCACTATTGAAAATTTCAGAACAGCCTATGCCTTTGGACATAGAGAAATAAGCAAGCTTCACCTAAAATGTACAAAAAATGCTAGTTAGGTGTATTGTGCATACTTTTTAACCAAATTCCACAAACCAGCAGAACGAACATGCACATAAATGTGGATATCCTTTCACATGGGTACAGTTGTTTGCAATCCTTGGGACTGTGGTCGAATACGATGTATCCATGTACTTTGTTTCAGATTACTGAAGTCCATCAAGACAGATTTCAACAGCTTTGCTTTAGAGACATGGAGCAATCCATATGCATGTGCTTCTGTGTTTATGTGGGAGACACAAGCCTATAAATCTTTCTTCATAAATGACAAATTATGTCCTCTCCACATGTTCCACTCTCTGCCTCTCCTGCAACTCATACTCCATTTCCCAAATCTAATCCTCCAAATGTTGTCCTTTCACCTTCTTTTAAATGCAGCTGATAAAGGGAAGTGGCATTAAACCAGACCAAAAGATTTTTTTCCTGGTAAACATTCAATTGAACCCACTGCCTGGTTTGTCTTTAAGGAAGAATATTCACAGCCGAATAATGTTCCTTTAGCACAAAAGGAGTATCATGTGCTAGATGAATCAAAATGTACCCGAACTCATATTTTTAAAGCTTCCATTTAGCCAAAAATATATTTCTGCATGCATTATTCACATGCAGATATTTTATGCCATGGTGAACCCTCTCCAATGAAGGAGAACTGAGTAAGATCCCATATGTTTCTCTAGCGGAAAAAAGTAGCAAGGAAGAAGAATCCTATTCAGTCAGCAATAGAAGGACTGCAATTAAAATATTTTTATAGGGATTTTACAAAAATTGTTAAAAATTTGCCCTGAGAAACAAGGTTTTCCTCAGAAAAGCCTTTGAGATTTCTGATGTAAACCAGCATCCCCCTTGTGGCTGTATCAGTGTTATTTGAAGCTGCTTGATGATTCTATGCATCAGGAACACAGCCTTTCTACATCTAGACATCTGCAAGAAACATTTCAGCACTTCACTTGTACTAAGATAAAAATCATCATATTTCAAAGATTTGCCATTTTGAGGTCAAAATGTACTCTGCAAATTAGGGTTTCTTGGTGAAGACCCTATTGAGTCAAAAATTACCAAGGTACTTGTGTCACCAATGAGTTATTTTAGTAAAGGCTGATTGGTAAAAGTGGGTGGAAAAATCAAAATGAATATTACATGTTTTCTCCAATTAATTTTTAGGAAGATGCCATTTCACCTCTGAAATTTTTCCAATTAATTTTTTTTTCTAAGTAACACAACTCTTAAAAAAATCAATATTATAACTCTTCAAAACATAAAGGTAGTTCTTGGCGAACAAAAATTACTACTAACATTTTTATTAAAATATGTGGAAAAGTATCTTAAAGGAAAAAATGGAAGGCATCAAAAATTCTTTGCAAACCACCCTTCATATTTTCAGTGATTTTAAGGAGTATTCAAAAATTGGGACCAGCTATAGATCTAACTAAACATGTTGAAATTATATGTTAAAAATGCCTCTGAACTTGTAATACAAAAATTTACATATTTTACTTTCCCTTCTCCCAAAGACATACTTATGTTGCACTTCAGTAATATATGATATTTTAAGACAAACAAATGGGAGATTATATATAATCAATTTTAACATGTCACATGATGTACTTTACAGCATTTATAGTTTTGAAGTATTTTTTTCTTCATAAGCAACTTTTTCCCTTTCTAACAAACACCAGATGAGACATTGCCACAATGAGCTAATTGAAGTGTAAGCCTATAAGGAACAATGAAAATAGAATGAAAGAATTTAACAAAATTACTTATTGCCCTTCCACATGCTGTTACAATGGCTCCTTAAATTGAGCTTTTTAACACTGGTCTCAAATCTATTTGCAAAGTAAGCAGGTCCCTTGATGTGTAGTGTAATGTCATTCCATTGCTCCAAGACCTTCAAGAGGATACCTCCTAGTTTTCCTGAAAAACTACCTCCTAAAAGTGTGTCCCAGAGACTGAGCTGGTTTGTGGAGAGCAGCTGAAGCTAGGGATACTGGTGGGTTATCTGTGATGGACCCAAGACTCACAATGGGCATACATTGACAGCTTTACTAAAAAATGTATGGCGAGTAATTCTTGAAATAAAGACTGCTGTGGATTAGGAAAAGAGTGTGTACAGTTATATTCATGGTAAGCATTAAACATTCACTGTCACTCTGTGGATATCAGAATGTCATCAGCTATATTTTTCAGTTCTAGAATTGATCTTAGGTTTTTATTGCAAAATGTTTTAGTACTTATTAGCCTACTCTGAAATGTTTTCAGTGTTTACTTAAAATTTCCAGTCATTCTTGAAAACTCCTTTTGGTAATATACACAAAGGGTAGATAATGATGGTTGTCAAAGTAATACATAATGATTACTCCAAGAAACATTTTCTAGCATCCACCTACCTGCAGTCAAAATGAATACATGCCAGATCCCAATATTTTGACCCAAAAGGTAAAAATTATTTATAAACAATTATATAGAAAAGCTAACTCTGATTCCCTGTTTACAAAAATGTAAATGTAGTTTGGTGTTGGGATTTTTTTCAGATATATTTCTGTGCTGTGATCCAGCTGAAATGCATGGGTGCCCTTTCTCTGACTTTAACTACAGCTAGGTCATGCCAGTTTTAAAAGACAAATCTTTTACATGGTTGTTTTATGAGATGACTTTTACAATAATAACTTCCTGTATAGAGAAATCTTCCTTAAGTGTAAATTTGAAGATGCAAAATTTACATAGCAGAAATTTTCTGTTCTCTTTTATCTTCATTACTATTCCCTATTACAAGGGAGGAATGGTTTACAGCCTACTTGCAGTGTTTACTTTAGCTTAATCTAAATAGTTGACCCCATTAAATCAATTTTAATTCCTGCCCTTTGTTTTTACTTCAAATTCAAAGGCTAGGTTAGAAATGAGGAAAAACACCAAAAAAAAAATCTATTTAAAAAAAAACAGAAAAAAAGTAAGTTAGACCAGAAATAACCTCTACCTTCAGCAGCACAGATTTACTTGTTTAGTAAACTACATAATACTGCAGATTGAAAAATAGAGCATGACAGCTTTTGTTAACTCATACTAATTATATGCTATCATACCTAACACCTTAGTCAGATCTTAGGCATCTGAAAGCTACTGATTGACAAGTCTCATTTGAAACTCTAAAAAACTTTTAAAATTAAGAATCTTAGTTAGTAGGTTGCAGAATATGCTCTTAGTCACTATCAGTCATGTTCTCTAGTCCCAATGGGAGAATATAGTTCATTGTTAGTTATTTGAAGTGTGATGCTTTACAAAAGCCCTGAGATAAAGTCTCTTATGCTAGATAATGTCTCAACAGCAAGAAACATTTAGGGTTTAGGCTCCTAGGCTCTTACAGGGTCCCACATGGTAGTTAATGTTTATAGGTCCACATTCTGGGTAAGGATGGGCTTTCAAGCAGAAATTCTCTTTCTGAGTACATATCAGGTGGAGGAGAAAGTACTTGTGGATGGTCCTCATGATTTCAGTGATCAGCCACATCCCAACTAGCATTTGTGATAATCTTTATCTACTCAGAGACAGAGAGTTTAGGTGGATATATTTATAGAGGGTCTTCTCTTTGTGATTTGTAATTTATAGGCTCAGTGCCCAAAGTAATCAACAGCCACTCATAATTACATTTCACATATAAAACACCTACATTTAAGGGAGCTAAATACCTAGGCAAGGCCCAAATGAAGGTTGCCTCTCCAACATTAATTGTCTCCTTATATATATGGATTATAGTAGGGTTTCTAATTGCATGATGACAGCAATTTTTTACTATCCTACCATTTGCTTCATCAGTGCATGGAGTAGGCAATGCTCACTTAATGAGCCAGTATTAAATATTTTGCTTTCTCCTCCTTGAATGCATGGCCCCAAGCCATTTAAATCCTGCTCAGAAGATACTTTCCTTATGGGTATTTCATTGGTGCTTCACTAAAGTATATGAATACTTTACAATATTAATGGAATTATATGTTCACAAAATTCCTACTGAAATGAAAATTATGTTTCTCCCTGCTCCACAACAAAGAAATTAAGACATAAAGTGATCAAGAGCAAAAAAAAGTAGCTGTTAATTTTAAATGCTCAAGATGAGATAACAAGAAACTGAGTTTTGGAATAGTTTGCATCTTGTCAAGAATAATAATCACATCATGTGTTCCACTGATATCTGCAAATATCGGTTTTCACTGATATCTGCAAATTAATTGACCACTTAAATATTTCCACTCCTCAGGTATCACAGCCTCAAAAACTGCATTCAGAAAAAGAGAGACTGCTGCTATTGAGCTATTGAGAAGTTGAGAAAAGGATTTTTTTAGTGGTGTAAGTAGGAACTTAGAACAAGCAATCTGCAGCAGCAACAGAGCTATAAGCTGTGTCTTTGGGACACAAAAGGCAGCAATCTTTTCTTGGTATCATTTAGTCCAGCCCATAAATTCTGCAGCATGTGTAATATAAGGCAATGACCTTACAGCAAACAGCCTGTTCAGATCATCTCTTCTATTGAGTGATTTTCTTTCTCTTTTCTAGTAATTTTTATTATTATTTTTTTTCTTTTTTTACTTCCTTCTTCCCCTTTCTATTTCTCTATTCTCCTCCTATTCTCATCTTCATTTATTTCTTCTTACCAGCTCGTCGGGCAACTCTCCTCACTGTGCCCACTCTGGTGACAGCAACTTCTGAGGATGACATAGACCGGAGACCCATCAGAAGGCTCCGGTCTAAGAGTGACACCCCTTACTTGGAAGAAGCTCGGATCTGCTTCAACCTTGATAATGGTAAGACCACACCTTCCCTAAACAGCATATGATGTTAATTAAAGACTTCTTTTTGAGATGCAGATGGACCAGATGGTACCTCCTCGTTCACAAGCGATGTGGTGGTTCACCAGACATCCAAAGATGCCATGGCTGTCTAACTACAAGCACCTGCATATGTATGAACAGGGATTGTTTTCAAAATTCTCCTACAAGTGCTAACTAAAACTTTTTTTTCTGTTTTAGCCAGGGTGAGCTAGTGAGATCACACCAAAATAGAATTGATTTGCAAACAAAATATATCTTATCCATTCCAGGCATCCAGAAGCATGAAAGTTCTTGAGAACATTTATGGAGGGATTACAGCTAACAGCAGACTTGAGCTAAACCCAATGTTACAGCCAATGCAGCACAACCCAAAACCTCAATAGGACTAATTGGCAAACATGTAATAGAAAATTCTTGGCTGCAGGAATGAATAAGAGAGCTGTCCTTCAAAATACAGACCAACTAGTGTTATTATCACTGCCTTCAGAGTTGTGAGATCCAACATTCCCTCCTTGGTCTTTCTTTCTCATTGAAGCTGACCAACACAAGATATTTTAGAAGTACTGATAGCTTAGTGACTTTGAGCAGAGTGGGTTTTGGTATTTTTTCTAAAAAGCCCTGAATTAAATTACATTAGCTAGTACACTCTTAGGTGCATATTTTAACTAACTTTTACTTTACTTTTAGTAATGTAGTACTTTTGTGCTACCCACTTTTTAATAACATTTTTAATTATTTATATTACACCAACCAAAATTGGAGCCCTAATGTGGCAGGCAGCCTATAAACCACAGGGTAACAACGTCTACATAAAGAGCTGATTACTAAAGAGAGAAACAGAGATTCCACAAAACACCAAGCCCAGTTTGCAGCTGGAGAACGGAGTCTCTGGTTTTTGCAGATGGTCACATTTTTCTCAAAGACCTGCCGAAGCCCTTAGGAAGGTGAGCCCCGGGCTTTGAAGGCTGGTCAGTTTCAAACGTTGAATGCAGGCTCCTCAGTCCCCTTGGCATTTTAAACTGCCAAGGTGTGGCACACCATCCCACTTTACGCCATGGGTTTGCCCAAGGAGCGAGGGTAAGGAGGTGAAGGCATGCACCGTTAGACATCCCACCAAGTCCCAATGAAGCGGTGCTGTGAGTTCCGGAGGCCCTGGGCTAGAAGTGAGCATTCGGGGCTCCGGGCTTGCTGCGGGGTGGTACCTCTGCCGGCCAGGCCCATCGGCGGCGTTCGGCACCTGAGCCGGGACCCCCCCTGGGGGTGGGAAAGGCGCTCGGTCGGACCCTGCCCGGGGCGGGGGCCAGCAGCGCCGGGGCCGGGGACAGCGCTCCGTGCCCCGCAGCGGAGGCGGGCGGGACTCGGCAGGGGCAGCGGGCAGGGCCGCCGCGGCCGCTCCCGTCCGCAGATCCTTGACGGGTTTTCCCTGTCTCTCCCCCTCCCTCCCTGCGCTCCTTTCTCCCTTTCCCTCTCTCCTTCCCCGTCCTCCCCTCCCCCTCCCGCGGCTCTCTCCCTCCTCCCTTCCCCTGTCTCCCCCTCCGCCCCCTCCTCGCCCGGCCGCCCCGCGCCGCCGCTCGCCCTCGCCAGCTCGCCGGGCCACGCTGCTCACCGTGCCCACATTAATGGCGGCATCTTCCGAGGAGGACATCGACCGCAGACCCATCCGCCGCGTCCGCTCCAAGAGCGACACCCCCTACCTCGCCGAGGCCCGCATCTCCTTAAACCTCGACACAGGTGAGAGGCGGCCCGGCCCGGCGCGACCGGCGGCGGGGGAAGCAGGGAGGGAAAGGGGCCGCCCCCGCCCTCCGCCCCTGCCTGCGCCCGCGGGCTCCCCGGGCGCCGCCGCCCGGCCCTGCCCCACTGCCCGCGCCTTCGCACCTCGCCGGCCTCCCCTGGCCCTGGCCCGCAGACCGGCTCCCCCTGCCCCGCGCCTCCCACCTGGGTGAGCCGGGACCGGCTGCCCTTCTCCGTTCAGCCCCTCGAAGCTTCCCCTGTCCCAGAGCGCCGCCCTCTCGCCCTGCACAGCGTTGTGGCGCATCCCCTCAAGGCTTCTGCACTGTCCCTCCTCGCCAGGTGCTGGCATCCCTCATGGCGATGCTGCCCTTGGTGTTTTGCAAGTCTCTCCCTGGCTTGCTCTTTGCCTTCTTCCCCTGATGGGTTTGTGCCTCAGAAGTGCAAGGAAACTTGCACCTGCGTTGTCCGCTTAGTTTCATGAGGTCCCCAATTGTCTCAGCATTGCCTTTTGGGACTCTTGATGGGTTTACAGCCTGATGGTTCCTACCAACACCCCTCCAGCTCCCTGCATTCACCTCCTTCTGCCTATTACTGGGATGAACATCCTGCAGTTCTCCACCTGACCTTTCCTTCCCCTTTCTCCACTCCTGTGCCTTCCTCTTTGCCACCTCTTCCTCATGACTCCCTTGAGATTTAAGCTGTCCCCTTCAGTTCATCCTGTACATGATGAAACTATCCTGTTTCTTTTCTACTAGGCCTCTGTTTTCCCTCCTTTCTTGACCTTTCCTAATGAGCTCTATCAACAGTAAACTAACCACACCAGAGGTTACTTGCTCTCAAAAACAAAAAAAAGTTCTTTCTGCTGGTTCTCTGCACCAAACCAGACTTCCCCTATTTGGGAAGGGGAACAGCATGAGGGAGGATCTGTAGCCAGCAGTACTGCAGCCTCCCTTCATGTCCCAGCTGTAGCACACAAAATGACCCAACTGTGTAACATCTTTGATGCTGAGCCTGTGAGCTCACTGCCAGCTGTAAAGGGAAAAGAACTGCCTTGGAGTTGCTGCTTGCCCTGCTGCAGTCTTTCCCATCCCTCCTCCCCCTTTCAGCTGGCAGAAAGTTGGAGATGGCAGAGATGCATTTTCTTCTCCATTTGGGGATGGAACAGATTCCCCTCCCCCCTCCTGTTATCCCTGCTGCAATTACACCCTTGGTAATGGCTGATGCGCAGTTTGGTTTTGCCACTGGCAGAACGGTTGGTTACATTGTATGGCGTGTCATTATTTCTTTCTGATCACAGCTTCTAAAAAATTGCCAAACCATGGGTAAGTTGGGTGGCATTCCAGGGCACAGGCTGGAAGACTGTGCCAAGTGCCAGGTTTCAGCTCTATAAAGAACTGGAAGTGAAAACAGAAAGAGTATCGCTGTAAGGTGTAAATAAAAAAAGGCTGTATATGGTTATTTGACTGCTGAAATAACACTGTGCTGACTTGTGTTCTCTCAGGTAATGTTATGACATGTAGTTATAAATAGATAAACCAGCTAAGAGCAAGGCACCTTCAGGTCACCTGGTGCCTCACATCTCTATGCTGAGCTAGACATGCTGTCTTTGCTACAAGTCCCAGAGGATGTGCAAGTCTCAAGGTACCTCTTTCCTGCAATCCACCAAATAATTTGGTAATTACACTTAGCTTCTTTCTGTTCCTTCCCTCCCCCTGGCTCTCTATAATTTGGGTCTTTACTTGCAAACCTGGGAATGGAATTCCTTAAAAAAGAAATAATTAAAAGAAACTGTACTGGTGTATCAAGAAATATAAAGGAAAAATGTTGTAAGTAATGCAAGTGTGTGTTTTCATTAATCCATCTGGCAGTGAGTAGTAAAAAAAATAAAATTGCTAAGCAACCAGTATTGAGTGAGAGAGCCAAAAAGCAAGTGAAACATGCCGCTGATACCCGCTTCATTTCTGAGCTGTTTGGTTTACTCTTCTGTTTGCTCAGAAAGCACAAACCAAGCTGCCTGGGTATGGGAACTCTCTAGTCTGAGGAAAAAGCCACTAGAAAATGTGTTTGGCCACTTTTGCTCATACTTAATAATGCCGTGCAGCTCGGGCTTTCCTTTGAAACTTACTTTGCTTGTGGGGTGCAGTGTTCTTGCCCTTATTTTTATGGCTCTGTGTGTGTGGAGGGGGGCGAAGCACCCTGTTTCTAAGCCGACCGGGTTTCCATTTCCAGTCTCGTTGCTGGTGTCTCTGCCCTGTGCCACAGGGGGTCCGGGTCGCCCTTGGTGTGGCCGTGCCCTGCGGGCGGAGGGGCCCGACCTCCTGCCCAGGGCGCTGTCCGCTGCCCTCGGTGCTGAAGCCGCTCCGCCAGGGGTGGAGAGCGCCTGTCCCGCCTTGCCTTGTTCTCCCTGTCTGTCCGTGGGCTGGCAGCGCATGTGTGTGCACAGGGGTGTGTGTATCTCTTTGCCTGTGCAGGAGTAAGGTGGTAGGAAGGAAGTAAAGCTGTTTCTTCAGCCCACGGATGCACTTGAAGCTAAAGTGATGCTCGGGGCTCAGGAAGGAACCTCTTCCTTGTGTGCTCATTGCTTGCTTTCCATTTAGTGCATGCCATATCTGCACTTGCTGCTCAACCATTGCTTACAGAGCTATTTTTGCTACAGCTGTTACAAGTCAAGCTGCATTCCCCAGTCACTGTCTTCTGTCAGGACACGGTCAAAGTTCGCTGCAGCATGCAGGATCTGCTTTGCAGCATTGGAACTTCAAATCCACTTTTATTAAAGAACCATAACCAGATACAGTGAATACTGCTCTTCTCCACCCTTAATTGCAACCATTAGTTAAGAACTATCAGGTTTTTATCTACTTCAGCTGTGAGTTATAATTATACCATTACTGCTGTTATCTATATTGTTGAACAACTGAGATTGCAAACACAGAGTCAATTATACAGTTTGGTTGTAGCATGTATTTGGTCTGGGTCTTTAAAAAATACAATTTGCAAGTGATTAACAGCGCAGCTTCTATCTCCCCTTGTCTTTCGATTATATTAACAGGTTTGCATTGTTTGATTTTCTAAAACATACCAGTTTATTATGTTTGCTTCTAAATATTGATCAATTAACTCACAATTATTACCTAGCATGAGTTGACAAATGCTGTTCGATTAGTTGTGCCTGGTATGGTTTTTTGTCTGGTGTTCCCAAACTGATTAAAATACCCCGTTGTTTTCCAAACCCAGGGTTATTCTCTCTATTATTATACATATGCAAATCCTATTAATTGAAGTTATGTGCTCATATCAAGAGGATAATACTTCCCAAAGGATTAAAATTACCTCTTCTGCCAAAATTAATGTACCTACATAATATTGTAAAGCTATAGGCAGCTATAAATTCTTTTTCCATATTTGATACTAAATCAGTTCCTTACAGAAATTAATTTTTTATTTTCTCAACAACTTCCTCCAGTGCAACACTAGAGGAATGTGGAATGTGCTCTCACTTTTGGGTGGTGGTCTTTTGTTTTCTTTATTATGATTAGCAATCTGGCATGTTTCCATCTCTTAACATCCATCTTTGACTTTTCATACACATCTTCTTAAAAGCAGTTTTCAGATTGTCTTTCTGACTTTCTGATTCAGGCATCTAAAGGCTAATCCCAAATTACTTCTGAAAACTTGTTCATCTGTGACAATAGCATAATCACTTTCCTGGTCCTGTGCCAGCTGATAAGTTCAAGTGGTTTTTATCAGTTTTGACCTTTTACAGGTTTTGGCTGATTTCTATTCTTCCTGTTGCAAAATACTGTACTTTTTAAATAGCAATGCATGGTAGGTAGCTTTCAAGCTTGATAAATTGGCAGAAGTGATGACTGATAAGGAAATAGATTGCTTAAAAGTTACTAAGTGATCCAAGATGTATGAGCTTTTCTTCTCCTTCCCCCTTCATGAAGCTGCTTGAGGAATCCCTGTCAGAATTCTATTGGTGTTTATTAGGGAAAGGGGGGCTACTGCACTGAATTGATCTGGTCAGGTTCTTTTAGCCTTTCAAGTGTTAGTTGTTATTGAAGCTATTTCTATATACAGGTACTCTTACTTGTCCCTAGCCAAAAAAGAGTAAGCTTGGTACTGCAATCCTCTGCAAAGCTGATTCTAACAGACTGACTTCTTGTTAAGTGGTGCAAGAAGCTGTCTTTGTTTCAGCTCCTCAGTCATTCAGGGAAGTCACCAGATGTCAGCTTTTGTTTGAGCAAGGGAATGGAGACTCAGGGAGAAAGCAAGCCAATGCCTTGGAGAAGGTGTAAGGCCAGAATGACTAGAGTAGCTGTACTAGGGGTCAGCAAAGAGGGGATGTTCCTTCAGAAAGAATTAGCTTCCATGCTGTGAAATGGGGAGAGGGGAGATTTTGAATGTGAATATATTCCTCCCACCCTGATTTCAAAGTGTGTACCAGCGGTGCAACCAAACAGAAGCCAGAGGAGCAGCAGGAGGAGTGCAAGAGCTGGCCTCTGATGAGAGAGGAGAGAAGGGGGAAAGAGGTGGTGGCAGAAAGAACTCAATAGAGATGGTGCAAGCTATGGAGCCCAGCTGGCTCACTCAGCCCTGGAGTGTAGCACAGATTTTTAGTGCACTGAAGTCACTGAGTAATCTCACTGAAGTAGCTGGATCCTCAAGTGATTTAAGTCATTTGTTGACTTCAGCCAGGGATCTCAGCCAGACTGTAGAAATACACATCTCTGCTCCCCTTCAATGATGAAAGACCTGTTTTATCTCTTTGTGGTGTGGAGCCACATGTTGTCTTGGAATGTGTTCTGGGAAAGCAAAGCTGAGAGGGAAAGGACTTAATAGCTGTGAATAATTTTGCCATGGGTACAGAAGAAGGGTCCTCGTGTCTGGAAAGGCAAATGAATTTGGTACCATTTACTGTTCTTAAGCAGTGACGAATAAATCACACTGGGGAGAGGAAAAAAATCTACGTCAGCCTGTGTTAGTGCTGCTGCAAGCAG